AAATATGTTACAAAATTTCGTATTAGAACAAAAACAATTCCCACGCAATCCTAGTCAAAATGCAACACCATAAAATACATATCTCTCCATCAAAAATAAGTTTTGCTTTGGAATTACTTAAAATTAAATATCATTAAATTTTGTTTAGTGTCCATCTCTCTCTCCACCTTTCTCTTAGATGTAGTAAACATTTTTACAATATATATTATAATCATTCCTTTTCTTTATAGATAAGTTGTATGCTACCTTCTCTATGTTTTATTTCTCTAAATTGTAAATTAACTGTTGACCACTTATTCTTATTTCTTGTTACTCATTTTTTTTAAATTATAGATATGAACTAAAATTAATGTTTAAGTATTCCTGTTTTAAAATTATATATAGGATAATATTAATGTTATATAATAAGAATGAAAAAAAACTGAACACACATATTCCACAAGCTATTCAAAATTCTTAAATGTTTTGTTGTAAATAAAAAACCAAAGAATTCTTCTTTCAGAATATGAAAAAAAAAATGAAAATGGATTTTTATTTTAAAATTATTTTAGTTTTATATAAGTGGAAACCTTCTGGATTCTTCCAGAAGTACTCTCCTTAAACCCAGAATACCAAATTACAGTTTTGTAGGAAAACTATTAGCTTCCAAACATCAGAAATACCAAATTACAACCTTAATAATGTACCGAAAATGAGTGGGATATTTTTATAGGACTTATGTCAATACTAAGACCTGTATTTGTTAAAATATCACTCATCAATGTAATAGGGGAGAGGGGGTACCTTTGAACGCGAGGCGCCTTTGTACAGCGCCCATAAACCCGCAACCAAAATGTACATGAGTGATTTTTTAACATATTGAATTCGTCCATTAAAACAGTAATAAAATATGTAAATCAAACTTATTATATGTCGTATATACATTCATTGTAAAGGTTACATATATACCTATTGGTTCAAATTTATAAAAAAAAAACAGTGAGCGGAGCAGTATGTCGGACGGGGCCGACCATACGATACCCTACACAACTAACACGGAACTCTAACTTTTTGTGGATTTTTATTTCGAGCCTGAGCAATATTTCGTGATAGTTGCACCCTCTTGCCCGATTAGAGGTCAACAGCACCTCTTCCTTACATTGTCATATTTTCCGAATATTACTTATATTCAGTACAGTACTTCTAAGTACTTGTCCATTCTTCCATCACCGTGGGTTGTGTTGTGATGTATGGCTTATAATTGTGGCCTATAGATCGACTCAGTCCTTGTCATTGACCATAACTGGATCCTGGATCACATTTCAAACCGTTAAGCGCTATATTTCCGCCGTCCAGTGTGGTAATGGGTTACTAATATGAATACGTAAGCACCTGTAAATATTTAATTGTAACTCCCACATTCGAGTACATACGCCAATATAATTGGTATTAATTTAAATGCCAACCACTTCTCCTGGATATACTATCAATTTCTCGGGTCTATGTCCTTCAGGAGTAAATATTTGCATTTCACCCTCTAAATATTGACCGATTTTTTTCAAAACAGCCATGGTTATTCTTTGGCCCAATCCCCTTCTCCAAAAAATTAAGTATTTGGTCCATTTCATCCCCTAAATATTAACCGATCTTTACCAAAAACAATAGGGGTCTTCATTGGGCAGAACTCATCCTACATGCAAAATTTCGTGAAGATTGGTCCATAACTGTGGCCTGTATAGTGTTTACAAATTATAATGGGCAGACAGACGGCCACACATGTCTAGATCGACTCAGCTAGTCGAGATATGATCGGTGTACTTATAGGTGGGTCTAGGGCCAATATTTCGCGGCGTAGTTGTGTAGAGTATAAAAAACGAATATGAGTTTAAAATCTTTAAACGCGGATTCTCAATCAACCCTTATATGATTATAAAATTAATAAATTAATCCTTTTCACAGATATAGGATAGAATATTGGGCCCCGTACAAAAATTAACCCCGACTCTTTTTTCGGCGACTAAAGAATTACTTTATGTGCAAAAATTTAATACTTAGTATTTTTAAAAATAATCGAATCCAATATCAAGAAGAGTGAATAATCACTTTAAATTATTCGAATACTAGCATATGCCCGCTACTTCCTTAGGGAATGTGGGAAATATTTAAACATGTATTAATATATTATTTTATTTCCACTGAAAACTGCAAATGCAGAAAAACTAAGTAATCCACAATTAATATCGACCATAAATTTCAGGATTCCCACAATTTAAGTAGTACCAAACTGTGTACTAAATTTGGTACAATTTAAATTAGTACGAATTTCCAAAAATTCCTACTTAACCCAAACCTATACCCCAACAGTGATCGAAAATCCAGAATTCCAACTCTATCCACAATTCAAATTGTACCAAATTTAGTACACAGTTGTACGAATTTCTAAAACTTCTTACATATGTCCATCTTACACCTCAACAGTGATCCTGACTCCAAATTACTGGATCCTAGCTCTATTGGTTCACCTAAAGTTCAAATTGTATTAAATTTAGTACCCATGAATTTTAATTTCTTAATCTGAATCCTGCCCCCAATCCTACACCCCTACAGTAATCCTGACTCCAAATTGAATTGTTCACGCTCTATCGGTTCACCCAAATACAAATTGTATCAATTATTCTACGATTTAGTACTTTTCGTACACATAAGTAATCAATTTCCTAAGCTACGTACATATCCCAAACCTACACTGCGAAGGTAATGTTAATTTCAATTTTCAGGCTTCCAGCTTGATTTGTAGCAAATATAGTATCACATAGTACTATTCGTACACATGAGTACACGCTTTCAAAACCATCTCCTTATATGGATCCTACTTCTCAATCATAATTCGCATTCCAAATTTAAAGTTTTTAGCTCTTTCCATTCACATGCTACGAAATTGTACCATATTTAGTACATTTTAGTACTTTTCGCATACTGTCCAAAAATACACTTTGCTATTCTATTCTACACTCCATCAGTGAGCCTCATTTAAAATTTAAGAGTTCTAGCTCTACTTTTTCGTCAAATACAAATGGTAGCACATTTAGTACTTTTCGTACCGTTCTAGTACGAATTTCCAAAAACCCAGCCTTATCTGTCACCTTTGGACCAAAATTGACCCTCACCTAAAATTTCAAGTTTCTATCTTCAGCCGTTTCGTCTGGGCGTTGATGTATCGATAAGTCAGTCAGTAAATCACTTTACTCTTTTTTTAGTATAGATAGATAAAGATATTAAACCCCCTTGAGTCCGAATATTTTTCCGTGATCATAGCAGTAATTTCTGTACACAGATTTAACCCTTTGAGCCCCGAATTTTTTTTTTTCCGTAATCATAGAACAATTTTCTGTTCACAGATTTAATGCAAATATCCTAGATAGGATATGGACAAAATTTGACATGGCTACATCCTTACATTCGGGAAATACAGTACATTCTTTCTGAAAAATAAAAGCCCAATATCAAGAAATCCAAATGAAAAATCGACGACAAAATCGTTTTAAATTATTCCCTATATTCTGTTTTGCAAGAATCAAAAATAATTCTGATGGCATTTTGAATACGATTTTGAATACGAAGCGATTAAAATAATTTGGACTGTATATACAAATTAGTACTGTACACATTTTTGCCCTCTTCTTTATATTGAAAAGCTCATAACTTTACCAAAAATTTGCATTTTTTAGATTTTCTTTAGATATGTGTAGTCCATAATCAGGTCTTGACGCCTCTACATACTGGCATTCGAGATATACTCTACATTCTTTCTGAAAATAATGTACCAAAAATAATTCTGTGGCTACAAACTTGCTTACGAAGCGATGCAAATAATTTAGACTGTATACACAAATTGACAAAGCTCAAAAATTTTATTGCCGCCTTCAACTGTACACACAACCACTGTCCAGCAGCGCCACCTGTTGGACAACTAGAAACCAAACTTATCATCCAACTTAAAGTATACGAAAAAAAGCTTAGAAGAAAACAAAATGAAGGTGTTTACCTTTACTAAGGTACTGCAAAACTTTTCTCGACGAAAGGAGAACATCAACATAAAAAAACATTGTATCTCAAATCCAAAGCATGGCAAAACGAGAGGCAACCGTTTTGTTGGCTATAAACAAAACGGCAGTTTCTAATCAACGGTAGCGCGGCATACAACACAAAAGTTTGGTGATCGGCATCTGGCATTCGCGTTGTGGTCTATCGGTAGGTCGGTCGGTGGTTTTATTTCTGCGCTCCAAAGGCAATGGAGGAAAAAAATTCATTAAGCAGAAAAAATATCTAAATTTAAAACAAACAAACAAATAAGAAATCTAAGTAACAACAACAGCAACAAAAAGCATGCTAGAATAGAAAGCACAGCGAGCAAAGGGAAATTAATCAAAGCCGCCAAATGCTAAACAAAATGAAGTGAACAAAGAACAAAATCCCACAGAATATTAATCATCTATTATTTAATCTGGTATTATTGCAACAACAACAGCAACACCAGCCAAAAATATAATACACATATTATTAAATCAGAAATTTGTTTATTCGGAAGTAATTGCTAAAAAACCACATTAACGTGAAAGCCAAATAAAAAAAATTAAGGCAACAACAATAGATCCATAAACACATTTTTGTTTTTGTTCTTCAAATTTTGATTGATAGAGACTCGGCAAGGTAAGAAAGAAGACATTTGAATCATGCATTGGGGGATACGTATCAATGAGATCACACATATACGTACTCCCGCTCTCATTCATCTCTCTATTTATTTGTTCTTGTTCTCCACAACAACATTTGATCTCAATATTATATTTTTGTTTGCTCTCTCACTCTCTCATTGTTTTCGTGTTTTTTGTTATGGACCACTGACACAATTCCCCCAAACCCCACTCCACAACAAATGGTGTTACATTGTTATTGTTCTCTCACCAAAAAACAAACGGTGTGTAACTGTTTATATTTGTGTCTCACACACATCAGAAGAGATGAAGCTGCACGAACAACACCGGCACACTCATCGCCATGCAACAACAACAAAAACAGCATTACGAACACCAACACCATCGACCCCACATCATTCTCCACGTTTGTTGTTGTCGTCGTCGTCATTCATTAGCATTGTTTTGTTTACATTCTTGCAAAGTCTAACAACGTGTGCTGCCAAAACATATCCCTGTCCCTATTCTCAAACAGTTAACATTACCGATGGTCTACGTCTAAAAGATGGATCGTATTCATTTGAAGGATTGGTTATACCGGCTAATTTGACAGCGGAATATAAAATAAAAATTATCGATGGTATTGAATATTCGGCAGCGAAACATTGGCGTGGTTGTGCCTGCCTCCTAAAGCCATGTGTCACTTTCTGTTGCCCCCCGAAAATGCACTACGATGAGAAACATCAAAATTGTAGTCTCAACGAAAAGGATAGCCACTCACAGCATAGCCACATTGAAGTGACATTTGCCAATGGCACTACCAGTGCTGTGAATATTAAGGACACGTTTATAGTACGCTATGAATTTGGCTGTAAGAATAAAATTATCGAAAGGAAGCGAAATGAATTTTGGAAATGGGATCTTTTTGAGGTGAGTAGAGGTTGATGGTTGATCTTAACAAATATTTTTAACGAAAATTTGCTCTGAATTGTAGACCCTTAAGAAATATTTAAGAAAACCTGCTCTCAATAGTAGGTCCATAAACAATATTGTTGAAAATAAGCCCTTAAACAAATTTTTTTTGAAATCTACATTCAATTGCAGTCTCTATGCGCATTGATATTCATATGAGAAATACTTGTAAACAATCCAGCAGCATTGATGATCCCTTAAAAAATATTTTAAAAAAATTTACGAGTCGGTTTAAAAATATTTTAAAAAATTGGCAGCCCCTTAGCCAATGCGCGTAGAATTGTTAAAATTGGGTTAAAAATAGGTCAAAAAATATTAAAAAACCAGTAAGGAAAGTTCAAAAGTCGGACGGGGCCGACTATATAATACCCTTCACCACTATGGGTACATGCAAGACATGTTAATATCTACAATATCCTGTAGATATAGAAATTTCGAATACATCAGTCGGGACCTAATTCAGTACTCTGTGCAAAATATTGCTTCAATCGGAACAATATTGGAAGTTTGGTGCACTATTTACATTAAATCGGACGATACTATATATGGGAGCTATTTCTAAATCTGACCCGATTTCAACAAAACTTCGCATTCATCAATCATGACCTAATTTAGTACGCTATGCAAAATTTTGTCTCAATCGGATAAGTCTTGGCAGTATGGAGCTTCATTTACATAAAATGGGACCAAACTATATATAGAAGCTATATCTAAATCTGAACCGATTCCAACAAAATTTCACGTACATCAGTCGACACCTAATTCGGTACTCTGTGCAAAATTTTGCTTTAGTCGGACCACCACTATTGGGACTTTGATGCGCTATTTACATTAAATCGGACGAAACTATAAATAGGAGCTATATCTAAATCTGAAACGATTTCAACAAAACTTGGCATATAACTATCTAGACCTAATTCAATACTCTGTGCAAAAGTGTGTCCCAATCGGATCACTATTGGGAGTTTGGTGCATCAATAAGTTAAAATCGAACGAAAATATATATGGGAGCTATATCTAAATTTGAACCGATTTTTTACAATTTCAATAGGGTTCGTCCTTGGGCCAATTAAGTGACCTGTGCCAAATTTCATCCAAATCGGATCATAAATGCGACCTGTTAACAAAAATACATGGACGGACGGACGGACAGACGGACGGACATGCATAAATCGACTCAGAAAGTGATTCTATGCATATTCTCAAAAGGAACCATGGGCCTATCTCGATTATTTTTGCCTGTTACAAACATATGAACAAAGACGTAATACCCTGTACCACAGTGTGGCGAAGGGTATAAAAATACGCACATCGATAGTCACTTAAAAATATTTCAAACAAAACTACGATCTTCGATAATTTAAAACCATTTAGCGGAGTATAGTCTGACGGGGCCGACCATACAATACCCTACACAACTACCACGGAACTCTTTCATTTTGTGCTGATGTTTAATCTGAGCCTGGGCAATATTTTAAATATTTGCACCCTCTTGCCCGATTAGAGGTCCTTACACTCACATATTTTCCGAATGTTACTAATATTCAGTACAGCCATTTTATACTTGTCCAGATTCCCGTCACCGGCTTATAATTGTGGCCTATATATCAACTCGAAAAAAAACCAAAAAATTAAGTTTTCGGTTCACTTCATAAAAAATATATGAATGCGTAAGCACCTATTAATATTTAAGTGTAACTTCCACATTCGAGCACATACGACAATATAATTGGTATCGATTTAAAGGTCAACCACTCCTCTTGGATATACTGTCAACTTCTCGGGTCTACGTCCTTAAGGAGTAAATATATACCGCCATAAAATAAAAATTTTGTAATTTTTCACACCAAAGTCAGGGCCCATTTGACCCCCTAAATATAGACCGATCTTTATCAAAACAGGCATGCTTATTCCCTGACCCGATCTCCTTTTCCATGTAAAAATTCGATGTTTTGGTCATAATTAATTGCGGGCTCTGGAGCGACCAGAAAATCAGACAAAAATAAAGTTTTTGGTCCATTTCATCCCCTAAATATTAACCGATCTTTAACAAAAACAATAGGGATCTTCATTGGGAAGAACCCATCCTATATGTACAATTTCGTGACGATTGGTTCATATCTGTGGCCTGTATCGTGTTTACAAATTATAATGGACAGGCGGACGGACACACATGTCTAGATCGACTCAGTTAGTCGACCCCCTAAATATTTACCAATCGTTATCAAAGCAGGCATACTTATACTTTGGCCCAATCTCCTTCTCTATTTAAAATTTCGCGGTGTTCGGGCCATAATTGCGGCCTCCGGAGCGACCAGAAAAACCGACAAAAATTTAGTATTTGGTCCATTTTATCCCCTAAATATTAACATATCTTTACCAAAAACAATAGGCGTCTTCATTGGCCAGAACCCATCCTACATGCAAAATTTCGTGAAAATTTGTCCATAACTGTGGCCTGTATCGTGTTTGCAAATTATAATGGACAGACGGACGGACGGACACACATGTCTAGATCGACTCAGCTAGTCGAGATATAACGATGGGTATACTTAAAGGTGGGTCTAGGACCAATATTTCGCGGCGTTACAAACCTTGGGGCTGCACAAAGCTATAATACCCTGACAACATAGTTGTGTAGGGTATAAATATCTTAGAAATTCCACCCTCTCGGTATAAAAAAACTAAAAATTTAGAAAAATCTACTAACATCGAGAGTCCCTTTAAAAAATTAAAAAAAATTGTATTATCAATTAAAATGACCCTTTATTTTCAGAATGGCACCTTGAAACGTGACGGACGTATGTACTCCACAGATGAGTATTGTTTTACACCATTGGAGAATAAAAAGGCATGGAGTTTAACACCCCTGACTTGTGAAAGATTTAAGAAAGGATTTCGTGTATGGATTTATGCTATATGTAAGTATTGAATTATCCTGAGAAATTCAAAATGAATAAACATAACATCCTCTTGTCTAGGTACCAGTTTGGCAATAATAATCAACATTGGTATAATTCTGATGTTTGTAGCCATCAAGGATGTTCGAAACAGCAACTATGGTGAAGGCTTAATATTTCATTTGTTTTCCCTAACAATGGGTCTGTGTTTTCTGGTGTATTTGCATTTGAAAAATCCATTGAATTTATCGCACACAGCATGTCGAAATATAGGTAAGTAATTGAAATACACAATACCGTTCATATTTTTTTTAAATATTGATTTTAATTTCATTCTAGGCTTCTTGGCATATTTCTTTATAATTGTCTCGTTTTTAATATTGAATATTATCAGCGGTAGCTTTTGGGCCATATTTTCTTTGAAGCCCATTAAAACGTGGTATTTGAAGGTGTTATATGGTCTAACATTTGCCGTGGGCTTGGCAATGAAATATGTTGTCAAGGCGGTGCAGGACTCAAATGTTGGACGTCATTTGAAACCGGGTATTGGTGAGGATTTTTGTTGGTTCGATAGTAAGTGTATAACGATATTGATAATTAATTTTAAAACTATTTATAATTTCACTTTTCAGCACGTTTATGGGGTATCCTCTTATATTTGTACATACCAATTGTAATCTCTATGGCTGCTAGTCTGTTCTGTTCGGCGCGTGCCTATTTTAGAATTTTCCAATTGCCAAGTGACACCCAAATGGTAGCTGGAAAAGATTTTAAAATAACAAAAACACAGTAAGTATGCATGGTTCATTGCTAAAGATAAGAAATACATATTGGGAACTAATTAAAAAAAAACTTATAAAAATTTATACTATTTGATTCATATTCAACATTTTATAAGTGATACTTTACTGTAGATTTTTTAAAGAGCTATAAAATAGCGCAAGGGGTAAAATACTATTTTTAAAAATATCCGCTTTTTTATTTTTAAAATTGTTTTTAAAGGTCCGATAGTCCTTGAAAAAACTAAATTCAAGGACTATCGGAGAAAACAATTAAAAACAGTGAGCGGAGCGGACGGGGCCGACCATACGATACCTTACACAACTACCACGTAACTCTAACTTTCTGCGGATGTTTACTCCGAGACTGGGCAATATTTCGTGATATTTACACCCACTTGTCCGATTAGAGGACAATAGAACCTTTTCCTTACACTGACATATTTTACGAATATTACTAATATTCAGACAGCCCTTCTAATTACTTGTCGAGATTCCCTTCACTGTGGGTTGTGTTGTGATGTTCGGCTTTCAAGTGTTGTTGTGATGTTCGGCTTTCAAGATCGAGTCGAAAAAACACAAAAAAAATAATTTTCGGTTCACTTCATCCCAAAATTATTATCGGATCATCACCGAAAATTATAGGCGTTGTCCTTGCCCATACCTGATTCCTCATGGAAAATTTCCAAGCTATCAGCGCTATATTTCCGCCCTCCAGTGTGGTAATGAACACGTAAGCAGTGTAACTGCCACATCCGAATATAATTGGTATCAATTTAAAGGTCAACCACTCTACTTGGATGTACTATCAATTTCTCGGGTCTATGTCGTTCAGTAGTAAATACATACGCTATATAATACATATTTTGTAAATTTCCACACAAAGTCAGGGTCCATTTGACCCGCTAAATATTGACCGATCTTTCTCAAAACAGGCATGCCTATTCTTCGGCCCGACCCCTTTCTCTATGTAAAACTTCGCGATGTTCGGTCTCTGGAACGACCAGAAAAACCGAGAAATATTGGTCCTAGACCCACCTTTAAATATACCGATCGTCATATTTCGACTAGCTGAGTCGATCTAGACATGTGTGTCCGTCCGTCCGTCTGTCCATTATAATTTGTAAACACGATACAGGCCACAGTTCCGGACCAATCTTCACGATATTTTGCATATAGGATGGATACTGGCTAATGAAGACCCCTATTGTTTTTGGTAAAGATCGGTTAATATTTAGGGGATGAAATGGACCAAATACTAAATTTTTGTCGGTTTTTCTGGTCGCTCCAGAGGCCCACGGAGGACCTAGACCCGAGAAGTTCATAGTATGTTTAAGAGGAGAGGTTGACTTTTAAATTGATACCAATTATATGGTCGTATGTGCTCGTATGTAGGAGTTACACTTAAATATTTACGGGTGCTTACGTACTGAGATATTATTTAGTAGCCCATTACCACACTAGAGGGCGGAAATATAGCGCTGATTGCTTTGAAATTTTCCATGAGATCCCAGTTATGCTCAAGGATAACGCCTATAATTTTCGGTGATGATCATATAATAATTTTGGATGAAGTGGACCGAAAACTTAATTTTTTTGTGTTTTATTTCGAGTCGATCTATAGGCCACATTTGAAAGCCCAACATCACAACATAACTCACGGTAAAGAGAATCCAGACAAGTACAGCCCTCGTCTATTGAATATTCGAAATATTTGTTGACATCTAGTCTGTCAAGTAAGTGCAAATATCGCTAAATATTGCCCAAGCTCAGAATATACAACCACATAAAGTTAGATTTTTGTGGAAGTTGTGTAGAGTATGATTTGGTTGGCTCCGTCCGACTATACTGCTCCGCTCACTGGTTTTTTGAATAACTTGTATTTTTTGGAATAAAATTTTTTAGTTATTACACCCCTTACCACACTGTGGTAAAGGATCTTTGTGCATATGTTTGTAACAGGCAAAAGGAATCGTTCCCTTTTGAGAATATGCATAGAATCATATTCTGAGTCGATTTATGCATGTCCGTCCATGTATTTTTGTGAACAAACTACAGATCGCATTTATGATTCAAATTGGATGAAAATTGGCAGATGTTACCTAATTGTAGAAAATCGGTTCAGATTTATATATAGCTCCCATATATAATTTCGCCCGATTTTATGTAAATGAAGCACCATACTGTCAATAGTGGTCCGATTGAGACAAAATTTTGCACAGAGTACTGAATTAGGTCCAGATTGATATGTGCCAAGTTTTGTTGAAATCGGTTCAGATTTAGATATAGCTCTTATATATAGTTTCGTCCGATTTTATGTCAATATTGGTCCGATTGAGATAAAATTTTGCACAGAGTACTGAATGAGGTCTTGATTGATATGTGCCAAGTTTGGTTGAAATCGGTTCAGATTTAGATATAGCTCCCATTTATAGATTCGTCTGATTTTATCTAAATGAAGTACCAACTGTCAATATTGGTCCGATTGAGACTAACTTTTGCACAGAGTACTGAATTAGGTCCAGATTGATATGTGCCAAGTTTTGTTGAAATCGGTTCAGATTTAGATATAGCGCCCATATATAGTTTCATCCGATTTAATGTAAATGGAGCACCATACTGCTAATATTGATCCGATTAAGAAAACATTTTGCACAGAGTATTGAATTAGGTCTAGATTGATATATGCCAAGTTTTGATGAAATCGGTTCAGATAGCTCCCATATATAGTTTCGTCCAATTTTATGTAAAGAAAGCTCCATACTGCCAATATTGGCCCGATTGAGACAAAATTTAGCACAGAGTACGGAATTTAGTCCAGTTTGACATCTGTGAAGTTTTGATGAAATCGGTCCAGATTTAGATGTAGCACCCATATGTAGTTTCGTCCGATTTAATGTAAATGGAGCACCATACTGCTAATATTGGTCCGACTGAGACAAAATTTTGCACAGAGTACTGAATTAGGTCCAGATTTATATATGCCAAGTTTTTTTGAAATCGGTACAGATTTAGATATAACTCCCATATGTAGTTTCGTTCGATTTTATGTAAATGGAGCACCATACAGCTAATATTGGACCGATTGAGACAAACTTTTTTTACAGAGTACGAAATTTAGTCCAGTTTGACATCTGTGAAGTTTTTTTGAAACCGGTCCAGATAAAATGTTGCTGGATTTCATACAAAGGTTACACCAAAAATTCATGTCTGACTTATGACATGAAATTTTTTAAGAGATTTCAGAATGACATGTGTATGGCTTTTTATTGGTTCAAATATCTATGTAGACCACATATATTTTTTACCCGAATCTTTTTAAAACTTACAGAAGAAGATTCTTTTAGGTTCTGGAACGGAACTAATGCTGTAGAAAGACTATCATAGAGTTTAGATTATTTTGAAAGTCTTTCAAAAAGTGTAGATATTTTAAAATGTTTTTTAAAGGTTTGAAATTTTTATGGATACTTTTTACTAGGTTATTGTTTCAATTCATTTCAAATTTTGTATTTCTAATTTTTTCAATAACATTTTTATTATTTCAGTTTCATTTCGTATTGCATTTACATTTTGGTTGTCTTCTCGATTTGGATGCGTGAAATGATTGTCTATGTAACGGCTCGTATAAGAGAACATTTCTTTATTATCGATTATTGGAGTGGTATTTGCGTTTTATCGCTGGCCTGTGTCGGATTCGTTTTCCTACTCTACAAGAATAAATTTGTTCAAAAATGGTGGAGTGAAAATGTGTAAGTGATGTTTTTTATATTTATTATTTTTTTGAAATGAATTACAAAAATTATTTTCTTCTAGAACGGGTACTGCCAAGAACACGGAATATGATTTAACACCGGACTATTCATTTTTACGGGTGCAGAATTTTAAGAAATCAGGTAAATTATTATGACATTTAGAAGTGTGTGCTATAGTAATTATTTTTTTTGTGTTACCCAGATGCAACAGATAATGCAGAAAATGGAACTGAATGAATACATGTGTGTGTGTGATTTTTCATAAACTGCCCAAAGCCATTGCAACAATTTTTTTTCACAAATGAAGTCTGAAATGTAATTTTCTGCAAGTCACGTTTTTTCCTTCTTAATTTATGTACTTAATATTAATTATTTATATATATTTAAATTTTAAGTTTATATATTTTAAAGAGAATGGTAATAAAATATATCGGAGGATCTTTTAAAATTGAATAGTGTCTTTGATATGGCAAAATTCTGACGACAGGTATTTCAAAGTGAATAATAGGCTTTATTGGTATTCTATAAGTAGAAAGCCTATACATATATATAGATATATATATATATATATATATACTAATAATCTATACTAAAAAAGGAGTGAAGTGATTGACTGACTAAAAAAAGAGTGAAGTGATTGACGATTCATCAACGCCCAGACGAAACGAAACTCTTGTTCCAAATGTGACAGATAAGGCCGGGTTTTTGGAAATTCGTACTAGAACGGTACGAAAAGTACTAAAAAGTACTAAATGTGATACCATTTGTATTTGGCGAAACGGTGGAGCTGTAACTCTGAAATTTGGTTTGGTGGTCGCTGATGGAGTGTAGGATAGATGTACCAAAGGGTTTTTGGAAATTCGAACTATAACTATTCGAAAAGTACGAAAATGTACAAAATTTGGTACAATTCTGTAGCATGTGAATGGAAAGCGTTAAAAACTTGAAATTTGGAGTTTGAGTTAAGGGTGAGAAGTAGGGTCCATATAAGGAGATGGTTTTGAAAGCGTGTACTCATGCGTACGAAAAGTACTATTTGGTACTATATTTGGTATAAATTTAATTTGAAGATACAAATCGAGCTGGAATCCTGAACATTGAAATTAACATTACCGTCGGAGTGTAGGATTGGGATATGAACGTAATTTTGGAAATTTGTTACTAATGTGTACGAAAAGTACTAAATCCTACTATAATCGGTACAGTTTGGATTTGGGCGATCCTATAGAGGGGGAACAATGAAATTTGGAGTCAGGATCATTGTAGGGGTGTGGGATTGGGCTCAGGATGCAGTTTAAGAAAATAATACTTATGGGTACTAAATGGTAATAAATTTGGTACAATTTGAATTTTAGGTGAACCAATAGAGCTAGAATCATGAAATTTGGAGTCAGGATCACTGTTGAGGTGTAGGGTTGGGGTATGTAGGATGTTTTAGAAATTTGTACTACTGTGTACTAAATTTGGTACAATTTGAATTGTGAGTGATCCGATAGAGTTGGAATCCTGAATTTTTGATTTAGGATTACTGTGGAGGTGTGGGAGGGTTTGGAAATTGGTACTACTATGTACTAAATTTAGTACGATTTGATTTTTGGGTGAACCGAAAGAGTTGGAATCCAGAAATTTTGATTTTTGAACACTGTGGAGGTGTAGGATTGGGGTATGTAGGAAGATGTGGAAATTGGTACTACTATGTACTGAATTTAGTACAATTTGAATTGTGTGTGAACCAATAGGGTTGGAATCGTAAAACTTGATTTTGAATTATGAGTGAACTGATAGGGTTTGAATCTTCAAAATTAATTTAGGATCATTGTGGTGGTGTTGGTTTGGTTTAAGTTGGTAGTTTTTGAAAATCGTACTACTGTGTACTAAATTTGGTACAATTTGTATTGTGGGTGAACCGATAGAGTTGAAATCCTGAAACTTGGATTTAGGATCAGTGTGGGAGGCAGGATTGGGGTATGTAGAATGTTTTGGAAATTTGTACTAATGTGTACAAAATTTGGTACACTTTGAATTGTGGGTGAACCGGTAGAGTTTGAATCCTGAAACTTAGATTTAGGATCACTGTGGTTTAAGTTGGAACAATTAGGATTGTGGTCAACCGATAAAGTTGGAATCCTGAAACTTCGATTTAGGATCACTGTGGGGGTGTAGAATTGGGGTATGTATGAAGTTTTGGAAATTGGTACAACTATGTACTAAATTTGGTACAATTTGAATTGTGGGTGACTCTATCGGTGGAATCCTGAAATTTTGATTTAGGATCACTGTGGCGGTGTAGAATTGGGGTATGTAGGAAGTTATTGAAATTCGTACTACTGTGTACACAATTTGGTATAATTTGAATTGTGAGTGAACCAATAGAGTTGGAATCCTGAAACTTCTATTTTGGATCACTGTGGTAGTGTAAGTTTGGTGTAAGTAAGAGTTTTTGGAAATTCTACTACTAAATTCGGTTAAATTTGTGGATGAACCTATGGAGCTGGAATCCTGAAACTTGGATTTAGAATCACTGTCGGGGTGTAGGATTGAGTTAAGTAGGAAGTTTTGAAAATTCTACTATTAAATTCGGTACAATTTTAATTGTGGGTGAATTAATGGATTTGGAATCCTGAAATTTGAATTTGGAATCATTGTGGGGGTGTAGGATGCAGGAAGTTTAGTTAGGTGGTTAGGGAAGGTACTTATTGAAATAATGTCTGAAAAACGGAAAATTTGGTTAAATTTGGATTTGGGTGAACCTTTAGAGCTCGAATCATGAAATTTGGTACTAAATGGTACCCAAATTTAATTTATGGTCAATATTAATGTGTGGATTGTTCTTTCTGACATATGCAGTTTTCTCTGAAAATAAAATAATAAGTTAATACATGTTTAAATATTTCCTACATTCGCTAACGAAGTTGCGGGCATATGCTAGTATATATATAATGCCCTACATAGAAGACCCGTTTAGGGTGCTATATATATTGACCTTTTGTATTCTGTACCCAGGGGAACCTCTGGACATTTATACGTAGAATACCCTTTTGAGTTTTTTCTTATTGGATTTCTACACATGGAAGACCTTTTTGGACCTCTAGACCAAAAATATGTCCTACATGACCCCTTATTTTAACCACTCAACTACTTAAGATTACTTCCGTTCAAATAAAAAACATGCAAAATTTATGTTGCAAAACTAATGCCCAACAGGATATCATATTAGACCTGTTCGTCAGTACTTATTTTCCGTCGGAAAAATTTTAAACAAGTGACATCAACACCCACGTTTTTTCATAGCACAAAACAGGTAAGGAAATTACAACATGACGATGGAGGATATTAATAATTAAGGGTCTTCCAGTAGCCTTTTGGGAACTGAGGAAGAAGAAGAACACCAACACCACACAACATGAATGGAAAATGGCGCCAAAAGTTTCGTGCACACAAACAAACACACACATTCTTAAGGTAATTGACTTTCAGGATATGGAAATAGACAGGAGACACATTATGAACGATTAGATGTGAAAATTGCAAAGCGAAAAAAGAAACAACAACAACAATTTAACGATATTGGAAGCAACAGAAAAACTTGTTGGTTAAACGCAACTTTACTGAAAGGCATAACAAAAAATAAAATAAAATTGACTTGCAATTTATTGTGTCACATACATACATACATCATAGGGGTATATGTACGTTTAAGTAATTGTTTATTAGGGTGACATGCATTTGAAATACATTCATTTAATGGCTTTTGTATTTTTGGGTGCGACAGAAGAATTGGATCACCGGAATTGGTTGTATGTGCTGAAATTAGTAAAAATAATGAGAAAACGTTAGCTGGAAAGATGTAAAAATAGTATCAACAATTTGGAGGTTGGTACCTATGCCGCGAGTATATTTTATATAGGCAATTATGTTTGAAAAAAAATTTAAAACGTTCTTAAGTTCGGCCAACTTGATCATCGTATACCCTTCACCATGAAGTCAGCACTCAAAATACCTAAAATCGTTCAAAACCTTTATATGGCGTCTAAGCCAAAACATGGACCTGGAAATATTTCAATTCTCTGGGAAACGAAGATTTCACAAGTACACAGAAAAAATAATTCGCATATTATCTGAATAGTGTTCTGAAAGTTTTGCAAATTTTTCGGATTTCTGCATTTTATGACTACAATTCATAAAATTTTAAATACTGGTTTCTTTTCAGAGAGAGAGAGAGAGTGAGAGAGAAGAGAAAGCGAAAAAACAACGATGGAGTTGTGTTTGTTGTCGATTTTAAGAATCTTCGATTTTTGCTTTTGACTACAAAGTCGAAATCCATTTTCGACTTTTACCGATAAAATTGTTGGCAATAGAATAAAATAAAGTTATGGAATGCGTATTTTTTTTGGGCGGTTTTGGGTTTTGTGATAATAAAAATTTTCAATACAAAAGGTCGATTGGTCGAAAGTCGATTTACTTTGCCCAACCTGTTTCACAATATTTCTTATATTGTATTTGACATTTGCATCGAAATAATTTGGAAAATACATATGCGAATTTTATTTCAACAATGCAGAGGTCAGTAAAAGTGAACAAGTAATGGTGGTGGTTTTTTTCTTGGGATAAATACATTTATTTCTGTCAAATGAAAGAGAGAGAGAGAGAGAGAGGAAAAAAAGAGCTTAAGTAGTGTTAAAGTAGGAAGTAGTATGAACATAATTTTGATTTTAATGAAATGTTTACATTTTTTGGAAAAAATATTGGAAAATGAATGAAGTTATTAAAATATTCAATAAAATTTTTTCTGTGTACTTATGTTTAAAAAGCTCTTTAATGGATAGAGCTAATACTTGAAATGTGGAATGCGAATTAGTAGAGTCTATTTAAGGAGATGATTTTGAAAGCGTGTACTCATGTGTACGAAAAGTGCTATATGGTACTATATTTGGTACAAATTTGATTTGAAGGTACAAATCGAGCTGGAATGCTAAAAAAATTATAGTGGGAGTGTAGGATTAGGATGTGTACGTAGTTTTGGAAAAATTTTACTTATGTGTACGAAAAGTACTAAATCGTATAATTGGTACAATTTGGATTTGGGTGAACCGATAGAGCTGGATCAATGAAATTTGGAGTTAGGATCATTGAAGGGATGTAGGATTAGCGTCAGGATGGTATAATTTGAATTTTAGATGAAGGATCACTGTGGAGGTGTAAGATAGAAATATGTAGGAAGTTTTAGATATTCGTAC